ATGACCAACCTAGACAGCATATTAAAAAACACAGACATTATTTGCCAACAAAGGTCCATCTAGTCAAGGCTATGGTTTTTCCAGTGGTCATGTATGGATGTGAGAGTTGGACTATAAAGAAGGCTGAGTGCCGAAGAATTGATGTTTTGAACTGCGGTGTTGGAGAAGACTCTTGAGTCCCTTGGACTGCAAGGAGATCCAACCAGTCCGTCCTAAAGGAGATCAGTCCTGGCTGTTCATTGGAAGGACTGATGCTGAAGCTGAAACTCCAATACTTTGGCCACCTGATGTGAAGAGCTGACTCATTTGAAAAGACCCTGATGCTGGGAAAGATTGAGGGCAAGAAGAGAAGGGGAAGACAGAGGATGAGATGGTTGGATGGCATCACCGACTCGATGGACATGGGTTTGGGTAGACTCTGGCAGTTGGTAACGGACAGGGAGTCCTGGCGTGCTGTGGTTCGTGGGGTGACAAAGAGTTGGACACGACTGAGCGACTGAACTGAACTGAATTGAGCTTCTGCAAACTTAGGCTTCAGAGAGGCTCCCTTCCTCAGTCACTGTCTCCAGCCTTCTCTCTGCAAATAACTCTTGAGCACCGGTTCTGACCAGGCACACTTGCCAGGAACTTCTCATACACTGGTTTGGGAACTGTCCCCTTATAGGCCAGGGGCACCAGCTGAGTGGGCCTGAGGCACGCCCCCCTCCACCACCCCGTGACCCAGACCATAGCAGGAATGAAGTGCTCCCTTCAGCAGAGACCCCAGATGGGCCCAAGGAACCCTGAGAAAGCACAGTGGTTCTGACTCGAGATGGGACTGGCAGCCTCCTTGGCTTGCCCGCTGCGACTTGGAGCGTAGACTTGGAGTGAAAGTGAAGAAGGGAGGCCAGGATGGAGGTGGGAGTCACTCTGACTCTCCAGGCTTGAATTGGTGCTCGTCCTAGAGTTTTCGAAATGTGAGCCTTGTCCCAGAGTCTTCTTCTCCCCAGTGAAATGATGTCTATTGCCTGACCCCGGGGGCCTGGAGGCTGGGGGGCCAGGCCACCCTCCTCATGCCCCCTCCTGTGATGGGCTCTTGGCCACCTGGTCCTTGCTGCCTTCCGCCCAGCCCTTCCTCTCCCCGCGGAGGCTGCCTCCACACCTGTCTCTGTTACGCACTCACACCCTAGTGACATCGCTTTTCCAATTAAACCCTCAGAGGTGAGAAGCTGAGGTGACGAAAGGAGCCCTGGCCCTGTGCCCACAGCCAGGTGTAGATGCATCACCCCGCCCCAGGAATCCTCACCGCAAGCCCTCCGAACAACGCATCTGCTCCCCGCCAAAGACTCAGGTTGGCTTCTGTCTCCTTCCATCTTTCGCCCGTTCCCTTCTTCCTTCCCTCTTCACCTCTCTCCCTCCCTCCCGCCTCCTCCCTCCTTCCTTCCACCCAGGCAGTTTCTTTTGTCCCCAGCACTTCCATGATAATAAGGATAAGGGCTGACTAAGGCCAGGCCCTGCTCTACCATCTTTACATGTATCACTTCCTTTCAGCCACATGACAGCCACATGGGCAGGAGCAGTCATTTCTCTCATTTTGCAGATGGGACAACTAATACAGAGTAGCTGGGAATTTACTCCGAGTCACCCACAGCTAGGCAGTGGGTGAATAGAATTAGAACCAGCCATTCTGGCCTCAGAGCTGTGCCTTGTTTTTTTTTTTTTGGCACCACACACACACACACAAATCTGTATTTCTACATTGGAGGAGTAGAAAAGAAAGTAGCCCTTATACTGGGCCCTATTCAGTGGCAGTTTCTTGTTTCATAGGGTTAAGGCAGACTTTGAGGAAATGAGAGCTGTTTGGAAAAATCCAGGTGGAGTTGCTTTGTATGTTGTGATGGGTAGAAGGGATGAAGTGAAGTGAGAAGGCCCCTCACACCCTCCGTCTTGCCTCAGACTATGTCCTGGGGGCAGAGAAAGTGCCACTTTCATTTCTGCTTCTTGGGATTGTTGACGGCCATGTGGTGATAGAGAATGACCAGCAGGAAGAGCATGTTGGCGAAGATGGCGAGCTGCACATCTGTGATCATGCTGATCAGCTGGGCTCGGCTCCCCAGAGGTGTGTTCTTAACCCTGACACCACATTGTGCCATCCATGCAACCTCAGATGGGGAGAGTGTCCATGACTTCTTCCCTGACACTGATGCCACCTCTTAGGTATTTCGAGAAGCTGTCTCTGTCTGCTCTCCTGCCCTACCTGCTCCCACTGCCAGCTGGACAGGTCCCTAGGCCCTGGAGCAGAGCACTGGACTCTGGATCACCCCCTGCTGGCTCCAGGCTCCCACTCCTCTGATCATTCTCCTCACTGCCACAGAAAGCTGGTCCTATGGCTCCTTTGACCCAATCACTGAATGGCCCCCAGCTGTTTGCCGCTGGCCTCTGACTGTTTCCAGTCTTTTCCCTCTCCTTCTACCACCTGTACCAGCATTCTGTGGACATAAGGCTTTTCCTGCTTTGAGGCCTTTGCACATGCTGTTCCTTCTGCCTGGAATGACTTTCCTCTCTTCATCCCAGTGACAGACTGTATTAAGGCTCAACCCACCTCAGCATCCCATTCTTGGGGAAGCCCTTGCTAACCCCTTCTACCCGGCAGAGCAAGTCACCTCCTGATGCATGCTAGGGAGGCTTGAGGCTCTGTGGAAGCAGTCTAGCTCCCCTAAGGTATGCTGAAGAGGTCATGTGGCCAGACTGCATGGAGATGAAAATGTCTGAGGATCCCCAGCTTTTCTTGCCCCTAGTTGAGTCTTCCCAGTCAGGAACCAGTTACATGAGTGAGCGGCTTCAGATGATTTATAGAAGCCAGGCTTTGAGCTCCCCAAGCTGATGCCAAGTAGTGCAGGGATGTGTTGGTCCTGCCAAACCTTGGCCATACTGCAGATTTGTGAGTGAAATAAATGTTGTTTAAAGCCATCACATTGGACTTCCTTAGAGGTTCAGTGATTAAGACTTTACACTTCCAATGCAAGGCATGTGGGTTCAGTTCCTGGTCAGGGAAGGTCCCATGTGCCATGTGGCCAAAATGTTAAAACCAAATAAGTAAATAAAATTGGGCCTTAGCAAAAAAACCCAGCAAGTTTTGGGGGTAGGTTGTGATCTAGTATTAAATAACCAGAACAACCATTATTAACACTCTGGTATCTTTTAATTTTTTTAAAAAATTTTTTCTCTATTTCTATCTCTCTGTATTTATAGTCATTCCCTCCATTTCCATGGATGATTGGCTCCAGGACCCACTCAGATACCAAAATCCACAGATGTTCAAGTTCCACAGTCAGCTACCCCTATCTGCAGTCCCACTGCCATATTTCCTCCCCTCAATATACAGTGGTTATTTTTTATGTTTAAACATCTACTTTATTTTGAATGACTGCAAAGTACTCCATTGCATAGCTTTACCATAATTTTTATAAGTATACTCTACTGTTTCTATAATTACACCCTAGATGTTTAGTGTATTTCATTTCACTGCCACTATGAACAATGTTGTGTGAATAGTCTTAGACAGCATTTAGGATAACTGTCAGGTATTTTCTCAGGAAATTCTGGCTTAAAAGGTAAAGGCTTTGGTACAGAATCCCTCATCTTTCCATGGCTTTTCTTACAAGTCTCCTGTGTCTATATCACCTTCTTTTTTGGAAGAGGAAAGTGTTCCACTGTTGGGAGGCCAGGTTCTTCCTCTGAACCTCACTCTGCTTAAGACTTGGATCATTTGTGTTTTCTGACTCTCATCTGCAGCATCAATTTTCCCTTCTCTACTGTATTATTCCCATATGCAACCATGTTCTAGTAACTCTCTGCCATCTTTATCCTAGGTCTTATATTACCCTCCACCACTACTCCATATTCATCATTAGATTTCTAGAAAGAGTTTTTTTTAAGCCAGGATCAAAAGTGGAAGTAGTTAAATTCACAAAATTAATAGGGAGACTTAAAAAACATATATCTATTAGTAACTAATGAATTAAGATGATAATCAGAAAGAATATAGGTATAGAAAGGATATAGAATATTTGAGCAACCACATAATACATATTCTTTTGAAGTTTACATAAAGCATTAATCAAAACAGACCATATGTTCATCTATTAAGCAGTTCCCCAAATTTCAAGGGACTAGAAGCAAAGTGTGTTCTTTGACCACAGAGGAATTATGCTAAAATGTAGTTTCAAAACAGATATAAAAAACCCCCAGTGATTGACAGTTAAACAGAGCACTTCTCAATAACCTACAGGTCAATTAAGATATCTCAATGAAAACAAAATATTTTAAACTACATGGTGATAAAAATATGATATATCAAAACTTGTGAGATGCAACTGGAGCTATACTTAGAAATTTATAGCCATAAATACACATGTCAAAAAGAATAAAGGTTGAATATCAATTATCTAAGTGAAAGCATTTATTTATAATATCAAACTCAAGAGAATAGAAAAAGAATAGCTAATTAGAAATTAGAAGGTAAGAAATTACAATAAAAGTAGAAATTTTGAAAATAGAAAAAAGTAAAGGTAGCAGAATATCATCAACATTGAAATTCATTCTTTAAAAATACTAATAAAATTGTAAGCCCCTAATAAAATAAATAAAAAAGAGAGAGGACATATTAATAAATTACCAGTATCAGAGATAAAAGAGGACCATAGAGATTTCATAGATACTAAGATGATAATAAGAAGACACAATAAAAATTTCAAGCCAAAATATTTTAAAAATTTAAGTGAAATGGACAAAATACCTAGAAGTGCTAAACTTACACAAAGAGAAATAGACAACTGGAATAGTGTTATTTAAATAATTTAATCTGTAGTTTAAAACCATTCAACAAACAAGCAACCTTAAAGACCTAGGTGGGACCACTAACAAAGCAAATGTTTGGGAAAACATTTAAGGAAGAGATAAACACCACTGTATATAAACTCTCTATTAAATTAGAAAAAATGGGAGCCAGTGGAGGGATTTTCATCTTGTTTTAGAAAGCATAATTTTGACACCAAAACCTAACAGGAATCCTACAAGAAAGGAAAATTACAGGTTGATCTCATAAACATGGATGCAAAAATATTAGATAAAATATTAGCAAACTGAACCCAATGCTATATAATGGTAGCACATCATAATCAAATTGGGCTCACAGAACAGGAATGCATGGTAGGTGCAACACTAAAATAAAAAATGTAATTTACCACATTATCGGGGAAGAGAGGGGTAAATCATATTATCATCTCAGACAATCAGAAGCACCTGCTCCAGGCTTTCAAAGAGGAGCTAGTGATACAAAGAAGCAAGGGCAGTGACATCCTTTCTGGTGACATCAGTCAAAATGGGAATAGCAAGCTCCCAACCTGAACATAGAAGTGACATCTGTGTCCAAAGCCTGACTTGTGGCCTCTTGTTCCCAGTAGTGGTCTGTTTGTCTTTCTCATTGGATCTGATCAGTGGCCATGATTCCAGCCACCTTTTGTCTCTGCCCATTTTTGGATCCTGGTTGCCCAGGCTTCCCAGTGGTTCTAAATGTGATTCAATGGTCTGTCAGTTCACATCCCCTAAAGTTGGTTCTGCTACATGTAATTAAGAACCCAACTGACAGAGCAGGACAGAAGCTGGGTCAATCTGCACTTTTCCTGGTCTGGCTCTTTTGCCACCATCAGCTGCCTGTTAAAGTTATAAAAATAATACAGAGAAAAATGAGAAACTCTGATTGAGAGGGCTCATAAGCCTGGCAGTGGCAGGGGTGGGGCAGGAGTGGTTGGAAGAGGAAAGATGGAAAACAGTGGAATTTGTTCCAGCTGCGCAAGCTACATATACAGATGAGATGAGTGTGGGCTTCTCTGGAAAACAGAGATGATCATGTTTCATGCCTTTGAAGGACAACTGACCAAGGAGATCTTCAGGGAACTGGCGGTGATGGATAAGCTAAATCTTACTGCAAGAGTCTAATTTTCCCAGGTGGTTGGAAGGTGAAAGGGTGTTTTAGAAGGAAATAGCATAGACAAAGAGGTGAGGGCTCGAGAAAATAGTGTTTATGGGAATGTGAATGCTGTGGATGGTTGAAGTGCCAGGATACAAGATGGAGAGGTGAGAGATGACCCTGGAAAGAGGCCAAGGCCGGTTAATAATACCTTATTTAACTGTTAAGGAACGTGAATCTCTCTTGTGACCCCAAAGAAAAGGATTGCTTTAAAGTCAATGTTGCCAACCAGAAATTCTCAAGGGTGTCCTGGAGTCCAAAAAAGCATCTGAGAATAAAGAAATTTCCTGCAAATGACACATTAAGCAAGAACATTTTTGAAGTTCAGTTTAGTTCCAGAACTCCTGTTCTCCCCCACTGCTTCCCACAATTTGCTTTTGCTTCTTTACTCCGGGTTAAGATAGAGTCTTCCATTGCAGGTTTGAGTGCGATTCTTTCCTCCTTGGCTTGACACTGGGGCCCTCCAACCTGTAACTGAGGGATTGTGACAACTCCTGACATTTTCTCATCACAGTTTCCAAACGTTGGGGAAATCAGAGGCATCACAGACGCACTCCCTGGGTGGTGATATTTACCTCCAAATGTGAAAGAGGCAGATGCCAGCCCAATCAGGCACACAGGTAACTTTGCCCTCTTGTCAATGATCTCAGCTGGCAGGCTAGGCCAGCCCCACACCGGGGTGCTAAGCCTCCTGCTCACCGTAACTGGAGACCCAAAACCATCCTTAATTAAGTTCTTTCCTGATGGCTGCCAGGTGTGCCCTTCAGCAAGAGAGTGTTAATTCCAGCCTCCGGGGGGACAGAGATCCAGACCCCTTTCCGGACACGTCTGCTCTCCAGTTCAGCCCCTACCTGGAAACCCCCTCCCGCGCCCCCACGGCCCCCCCTTCCTATGGACGGGGGAGTTGCCTGTTACGTTGCAGCTGCCGGGAAGTCCACTCAACGTCTAGCGCCCACCCGAGCGGGCCCCGCAAGTATATAAAGACCGCGGAGAGCGAGTGGGACAAGACGGCGCGACGGAAGAGAACGAAGGGAAGAAAAGTGATCGAGAGGCCGCTGA